CTTCCCTAGCATTATCCACACACTTGTCATAATTTCTAATCTGAGAGATCATTAGAGGCAAAGGGAACAAAGCAATCCAAGGAAATCTAACAGGAAGTATACTTCGATTTTACAAAAAAAATTGATTTGTTGTATTTTTTGGTAAGCTTTAGATGCTATGCATGTTGCTCTATAATAAACTGAACTGCTTCAAAGTGCTACCCATGGAGAAGGGACCAACAATGGTTTTTTCTAACTGGCAGCAACAGCAGCTCTAGCTAGAATGTGAAGCCATGGTGGGGTCTTTTCTCCTTGCACATCTCTACCACTAAGAACATCTGCAATTGCAATTTAATTAACAACTCTGCTGACGTGCAAGCTAGAAGAGAATCACCACACCACAGTCCCCCAAGGCAAATACAACTTAACAGGAGAAAAAAGATAATCAGAAGTATTTGTGGCTATGGCTAAATACACACAGGAACAGGTCTATTCCGTGAGATTGTAGCATTACAGTCACTGAACAGACCTGCACTTTATTGGTTAAATCTACAGCGAAGTGTTTGCAATCTTAGAACATGAGCTGGTATAAGGAGAAAAGATGGTGTATATTGTACAGACTGTGGCATAGTATAGGTGTGTGAATGATACAGGTGCCTTCAGAAATTTCTGACAGAGGGAGTTGGGTTCATATGACAAGGCAGGTTATCCCAAATATACCAGCTGGCAGAAAAGATGACAAAGGTCAGGTAGAGCACCACTACCGTAACATGGTGGGAAACTATTCCCAAGAAGCATAACTCAGTTTTCACCTTTAGTGTTTGAGCATTAAGTTAGCAAAAGAGGCCTCAATAACCCTTCTCAGACAAATGCCTCTGAAGTCGTCAGTCAAGGACTCTGATTCAAGGTCCTGAAATCCATGATATAGAACATAACACGGCACAGGGCACTTGGACAGATCTCTCTTTTCAGACTCGTCATCATATCTTCACTGAAGGGCTGACGTTAACTGGTTTAATAATGCAGCAATGGTAAGAAGTTACACAGAGCTCCACCCACCACAATCGCCTCAAACACTTCACAAAACTACGTTCCTTATGTATTGTCCTTACTTTCCACTCCATCACCCCAGACCCTGCACTGCAGCAACTGACCCTGGAGTCAAAACACTGGGTGCACTCTAGAAATGGAGGGGAACAAATACACAGCAACAGGAGGGGAGCTACTGATTGAACAGGTCATCAGTGCTTCTTTATAACAGCACATGTATTTCTGTACTCAACTTTTAAAAATTTTATTTTAGTTGAGATTAAGCCACAATTTGCCAATGCTTATTTTCAAAGCAACATAGGAGCATTATTCTAGAACAGACCAATGTTTTAACATCCTGCACTTGTCCCATTCTGGCCACAGGGCAACACAGAATTATTTGGAGAAACTCAGATAATGCACCTAACTTTGTTTCTTTCTGACTCCAGCAGAAGATCAATTTATACCTCAAACCATGAGCATATTCTTATTTATGAGAATAAAAATGATCATTTCTGATGGGCATCACACTAGTTTCTACCATTTCAGAGTTACGGAACAAAGTCGCTTACCCATTATGCAGTGGGAACTGGCTGAGGCATGGCTGGCTGTTCTGGTTTGCCACCTTTCTGCTCTGAGATGGGTGTGGTGGGTAAGATCTCTTCCTTGGGCTCCACAATGCTGACATGGTCTGGCAGGGGTTTCTTGGGTCCAATCTTCCCACTTGGGTCCCAAGGCAACATAATCTTTACTTTAATACCCAGCACACCTGAAAAAAATGGCAATATTATAACGGTGGTCACTGCATTTAAAGGAGGTAAGATGCTCCATATACACTCAGATGCTGAACTGACAAGTTCTAAAACACGGCCATGTTTATTCAGCGGAAGTGTCCAACACTCACAACGCGTACACTTTGGGTGATCTGTAATAGGACTCAGTTATCAGTGTGAATTAACGACATCCTTTAAGCATACGCAGGCACAGAAGTAAACTAGTCCAGTAATTTTCCTTCCATCGTTTCATGCACTGCTCTCTCACGAAGTGGGAGCTTTAAACCCCCGTTTCCTGTGCTAATTTATAAATATTCCCTGTATCCCTTCTCAGACAAATGCCTCTAAATCATCCAATGAGCAGGACACTCTGCTAAGGTACCCTAAGCACAGTACCAAAGAACATGGCACTGAACAGGCTACACTCACACAAGAAATGTCCTTTCTGACTCGTCATCGTATCATCACTGAAGGGATATCAGATAAGCTAACTGCTCTTATGTCATGTTCAAGGACTGTTTGCTCACCTGTGACAATCATTTAGTGACCTGAGGAGTAAAAAATAGTTTGCATCCTTCTTGAAGGTTTAATTATACAGACCTGAAAGACTTACATTCTCCCTCATGATTTTTACCATAGGAAAAAAAATACCAGGACTATCTAGTCTTGCATTTTGTTTCTGCCAGGAACCCTGGGAGGATTAGAAGATCTGGGGTGGGAGTCCTTGGCTTTCAATGGTATTTTATAAACCCAAAGTCATAATTTTATCCCAAATGTTTTTCAGTAACAGGTGTTAAGTAGGTAACGAACAAGTTTTAAACAGCGACTTAAAATCCCTCTCTCAACTACTTAGATTTCAGTCTCACTAATTCCACTAGCTCTTCAGTCACCTGGGGTATGCCCACACTGCAGGTGGAAGTGAGCCTCCCAGCCCAGGGAAACAGACGCGCGCCAGCAGGGCTCAAACTACATGCTAAAAATCGCAGTGTGGACGCTGCAGCTCAGGCTGGAGCATGGGCTCAAACCCACCTGACCCCTAGACTTGAGAGCCCGAGTTCCAGCCGAAGCTGCAATATGCACACTGCTACTTTTGGTGCACTAGCTCAAGTCAGTCTACCCTGGCTGCAGGAGGACTGATTTAAATCAGGGCAATTTAAATAAGGATTTATATCACCAAGTGGAAATCCTTGATTTAAGCAATCTATTTTAAACAACTTTTCCATTTGTATTTCAGTTCTCTGCTACGCTCATTGGTTGATATAACCCTTAATACATGTTTATGTACAACTAGAGCCTTTACACTAGATTTGATACAGCTTTTTGCTACCTAGGAGGCTATACAACTATATACATTTATTTAAGAATGATTTAGTTTCTAGTTTCAGATGCTTATTAACTGTACATTTGTAGTACGTTAGAAAGTGGTGAATGATATATTGCTTCTTTACTAGATAATGAACTTGTGGGACAATTCGTGTCAAGCTACATTAGGTTGGTAACTGGAATTTAATTAAATAGAGAACAGCATACAACACTTATCAGAATACGTTTCACATTTACAACTAAATGATTTATTACACCGAGGAATTAACTGTAGTCAGTGAATTGCACTGATCATTTCAGGTCAGTCAGGGGAAAATTTTCAAGTATGTCTAAGTGAAAGTGACTGGAGCTTAAGTTCCTACTCACTTAAGTTTCTTGAAAATGAGTCTTGTAAGTCACTTTGGCAGTCTCTTGTACACACTAGCACCGCTCCTGGGTTAGTTACTGGTTGTGCCATGTTTATAAAGCAGGACCTCAAAAGTTAGATGTTTTCCCAGATTTCTTGCTTTACATAGAAAAGCAGCCTTAACTCAACTACAGGCTCATGAATTCAGCATCTTTATTTTTTATTTAAAATGTTTTAAGAGATTACAATAAGTTTAGGCCTTAAAATATTTTGTATTAAATTCAGATTTCATTTTAAACAGGATTAAAAAAAATAAATTCCAGTTAACTAAATAAAAATAAAAATTACTCTTATTTTTAGCCACACTGCTGGGCTGGGAGTTTTACTCCTGGCTGCAGTGTAGACACACCCTTGCAGCACAGGTACTCAACCTGAGATCGCAAACCAGCTTGCCCTTCCTTTCCTCATGGCTAGATGGGAGAGTCCCAAAACTCTGTTGTCACACCGGATCATCACATGGAAAAGGCTGAGAACAACTGTTCTGGAGAATCCTCCAACAAAAATGCCACAAACAAACCTCGGTATTTCTGAAGCAAAAATCCTTTCAGGCTCCTTTATCTCTTGAAGCATAAAGCTCATTTTCCTTTTGCAGCTCACTTTTACAGTTCATTTCTGATCATCAAGCCTTACACCAAGAGACAGCCGAGTCTAGCTTGCTGGAAAACCTGACTGCCACTTACTGTGTAAACTCGGGCAAGTCCCACTTTCTCCATCTGCATGATTGGGAGAATATTGTCTTACCTACTCCCATAGGGATTACAGGAACGATTTATACAACACTGAAAAATGTATGCATTTTCTGGGCTAATGATTAGAAACTTTGAATATAGATGTATGCATATCCAGACTAACTGATAGGCAATGCTGCTGCAGGAAAACACAACCAGCTGGTACCGTACTACTAAGCCCCAGTCATATCGTCCTAATTAGGAATTTTATTGGCAGCTGAAGACTGTTTAACCTAGATTTTCAATTTATCTATATAGGGCAAGAGCAGACAATGCTCCACATTAGACAAAACGTGTATAACAGAAGACAGCCCCAGCCTGTAAGGACTTGTAATTTCAAAAGGCAAAACAGCATTACAGGTACCAGTAACCAGAAGCAGTTGGCGCTGAATACTTTGCACAACAGAAAACGCACTGGAATTCTGGGAGTGACCACTCCTGTAGCAGTCAGACAGCAGAGAAGCAGCACTTTGGATTGTCTGGTACTAAGTGCTAATACAGGGAGCCAGCCAATTGCAAGGGGATACATATTCCAAACACTCACCCTGCCTGAGGAGGACGTGGCGCACAGCTGTATCGACATAGTAGTTTACAGGGTCTCCACTGTGGATCATCAGGCCATCCACAAACTTCATAGACTTGGCTCGCTGGCCTCTGAGTTTCCCGGACACCACCACCTCACAACCCTTAGCACCACTCTCCATGATGAAGCGGAGGACACCATAGCAGGCTCTTTGGGGAGGGAAACGAGTTACTCAGTGGTTGTAGAGAGCACTGTGAATTGCACAAGTAGGAGATATGGCTATGGAATGTGTCACCTAAACCCTCCATAACCATCAAATTCTGATCCAGAAATCCAGCTCTCGTTAAAGATAAGTTTAATCAAAGGCAGCAGCATCTGCCCCATAGCCTTGTTTACTTACGCAATTTTTCTAAAAAGTTCATTCTAGAGTTTCAACATTGTGAATTCTGTGCCTGTTTCACCTCATGCTTAGATGTTATGGGCATGTGCACTGCTCAGTACAAAGGGCTCTGGTTGCTACTACATGTAATTACATTAAAAACCCTTCTCAGACAAATGCCTCTAAATCATCCAGTGAACAGGACCATCCTGCCAAGGAACCCAAGCACAGCATCACAGAACATGACACTGCAAAGGGTGCACTTAGCAGGATACATATCCCTTTTCTGACTCGTCATCGTATCATCACTGAAGGGATCTTAACATGTGTGATCACAGATCATCTAAATCACAATTCATTTCCTAGACAGCTTTGTTTGAGGCTGAAGCGCCATCTTTGCTAATTTCCCCCACACCCCATTCCGAATAATTGGGTGTAAGCTTTACATGTTTGACTTAGCCTTCACCCTTTCACTAATCCACTCCGTAACAGGGAAAGTTCTATATTAAAACTAATAGCTAATATTATTGCCAATTGTGACAGCCCTAAACAAATCATGATATTTTATTTAATACTTAGTTATGCCATGTGCTATCAAGAGACTTGTGTTTAAACACAGAAATGGCAGTTCAAATAACACTCATTAAAATTTGTTTTAAGTTTGCTGGAGTGTAACTGTCTTTTTAAAAATCTACCTTTGAAATAAGAAATCTACCTGTGTGCATTTACCACCTAGATAATTAATATTCAGGAAAAATTAGATAACAACTTTACATCTTTATTCTGTCAATCCTAACTTAACTTGCACAAAGCATGCGTTAGTCCCAGTCTACACACACACAGTGGTGAAGGAATTTTCCTCAAAGCTACAGAGCCAGTATCAGAGCTGGGATCAGAACCCAGAGTGCTCCCACCTCACTTGTTTGCTCTATTATATCTACAGACCATTTTATTACACTTCTGCACTTACCGACGCACCGCTAAACCTCCCAGAAGTTTGTAACGCAGGGACTCTGCTTGGGCAATAGCACACAGACCTCTTGTGGCCACCTTCTCGGCATAGAGCTACAAAACAAGGAAAGAGTGCTCAGAAATAGAGTTACAACAGTGAAGGTTAGACTTCCATGCATACAGGTGACAGGAGCCTCAGCTGCCCTCCGTGCGCCCCTCTCCTCTGCACCCAGTAACTCACTTAGTTCCTTGGTATTTACATACCTGCAGGATCTTTACCCTTAGACAACACAGTGTGGCTTTTATCTGCTTTGGCACGTGTCCTCTGCTCCTCATGTTGAGTTGAGACATCCTAGTGATGCTCCATTGAAAACCAAGGCACCATTAAGGCATGCTTGGTGCAGTCCTGGAGGTGCAATCCTACCAAGCCGGCCCAGAACGTTAGGCAGCCCCAGAGGTGCAATCTTCCAAACGTGTCCAGGTATGGACAGCGGTGGTGATGCATCCTGCAGGGTGGCATGGTATGCTGGGCTGTGCTTGGAGGAGCATCCTACCAGACGTGCCCAGCACTCTGGGACAACTGAAAGCTTAATAAAGAGATCACAATCAGAAAGTGAGGTTGAAAGTGTAAGGTCTTTAAGCATAGCACAGGACAAAAGTCAATGTGGTATACAGTTACCTGGCAATTTCTCCCAGTGAAGTTACAGATTCTTTAGAGGAAACATGCAGGAAACCCTGTGGTAGGCAACTATGGAATAGCCTTCCCAAAGGAAAAGTTTCTTTCTAAACTCCATCAGATAATAGTTTATGCCCTTACATATGGCCCCTGTTTTATATAGTCCTTGCAAGCTTTGTTTTTAATTCTTATTGCTGTACTCTGGATGCTGTTATCCATTGCAATCTAGGCCTCAAAGGTACCTTGTGACAATGAGTTCCGCAAACTAGTTACAATAATCAATAGAAACTGTCAGTTCTGCATGAAGTAAAAGACAAGAACCAGTGTCATTAGCTAGCAAGGATCCATTAACTCAAACCTGCTACAGGTCATAATATGTTCCCCATTTTTGGCCTAGTACCAAAAAGTGAAAATCTAATGCCTCATATCCAATACTATTAAATCTCACTTGTGATGACTGTTGATAACACATAGGCAGACAGATGTGCGACTGTTGTCATGTTAAATTAATGCCTTTTCTAAAAACTGATGTAATCAAAAGCAACAGTAAAGCTCACTTTAAGGTATCATCAGAAAAAGTGACAATAAAAAGAGAAAAGCCACTTACCTCAACGCTTCCTTCTGGAAAGCCAAACCTCTTCTGTACGACAGCAGTCAGCTCCCGGATTCGGCGTCCCTTCTCACCAAGAACGTTTTGCGTTCTGAATAAGGTAAACGTGGTTATCGGAATCTGTGGCTGGGAAGTAACACCTATTTGAAGATTTAATTTTTTCTCCATGCCAATGTACCAGTCTTACTATAGTACATTACTGTGCCAAGTCTACTTTTAAATGACTTACTAGATAGGGATTACAATCATTCTTAGCAACTATTCCACAATTTAACCTCATCACAAGGAAGCTCTCTCTAATATATGGACATTTATTCACCATTTCTTAATTTCATTCACAATTTCTGGTTACCATCTTTCCAAAGAAATAGGGTCATGTATAGAAGGATTATACACAAGCGTCACAGATTTGGCTACTGGTAACTGCTGTGAAAGAATAAGGAGCAAGTTTCAATTACCTGGTAGCAAGGATGATAATTTCAGTCCTCGTTGGAGTAACTCGGACCTCTACTCCAGAGTATCCATCTTCAGCCAACTCACGAGTCAGAAACTCATTTAGCTCAGCTTTGAAGATGCCATCAGCGACAAACTAAAACAGAAAACAGAACAAGTCAAGCTATGTTCAACAGTTCACAAATAAATCTTCTAAAATTCAAGGTTTCATTGCTGGTTGAAGGTGCTGTCTGAACAGCCCGAGTCTACATTTCTCTTCACAGAGAGCAGCAGAGACAATAATACAACAAGCCTCCCGATGCAAGGCCAAATTTGCCTCAACCCTGCTGTAGTGACTACACCTCTAAGGTCAGTTTAATCCCTTAAGCAATGATCAGACCAAGGCTTCAACCACATCCAGCTAAAACCATACTCAAAACTAGTTGATAAAACCATACGTCATTACTCTTTTCCAAATGGTAGCACTTTCTAGCCAGTATGAATGTTAAGTTAATTGTGTCAGACTACCCACAATCAGCAAGTAGTTTTACTACTTAAACCCAGGCCCTGATCCTGAAAACACCTGACAGCAAACATTACCCCTGGTTATGAGTTTGGCATGACGGGATCCCTACTTTGCCTCTTTGTTAGTGATGGACGTTAGAAGGTTTCACACCAGGTTACTAGCCCTGGGGTGACCAGCCCCTTGACCCTACATCGCTCCACTTCCGATAAACGCCTCGGATAAACTCACTGGAAATCGGAGTTTTACTCTACCAGCTCCAGGGCCCACGTGCGAAACACCCTCTGCTCTTTCCCCCCAACAGGCCCGCTCCCCAAAGGGTCTGAAACCCGCTTCCCCAACGCGGGGCCCCTGCCCGGGTGCCAAGCGGAGCCCCGGGCTCTGGGCAAGGGGGAGCGAGGCGCCGCTGTCAGCCACGCGGGCGGCTCAAGGCGGAACCAGCCCTCCTGGCAGCTGCAGCCCCGGGCTCCCTCCCCGGCCCCCCCGCGCCTCCTCTAGCCCCGCAGCGGCTCCGCGCCCCGGGCTGCGGGGACGGGCCAGGCCCCGCGGGGAGCCGGCCTCCCCCAGTCACTGCCCCCAGGCCCGGCCGCAGGGAGCCGCCATGTTGCGCCCGGCCGGGCCCGGCCTTTCATCCGCCTCCATCCGGCCTCGCCGCCGCCTCGGCAGCCCCGCCCCGCGGCCCAGGCCCTGCCCGGCGCTCCCGGCTCCCAGCCCGGCCGCGATCGCCGGGCCCCGCGGCCGCCGGGGGCCGCCCGCAGCGCTACACCTTGCGCTTCTTGGA